GGGGGGGGGGGGGGGGTAAGTGGAAAATATACTTGAAGAAAAATATTACCCAGGTACAACGGGATATCTGGTGACTCCCCATTCATTCTTGATAAAGTGAATATCTGTATGGCAAATTCCACAATACAAGACTTTGAATTGCACATCTTTCTCCCCAGTGGCCCTGCACCATTCAAAAAGGTTTTTCATATACATGAAACCATTTTTCTAAAGAGGAAAAAAGGAAAAAGTTTAAAACTTTTATGTAGTAACAACGTAAAAAATATTTATATGATTAAATCACTTACATAATCACATGTAAATTTCTATGATCCCCATTTAGTGATATATAACTAGTAGCGGAGCCAAGAATTTTGTAAAGAGTGTTCACAATCTATTAGTATATATTTACAAAAAGTAATATTTGACTTATATACATAATATAATTTTCTATATATGTACTCACTATAATTTTCCGACTTAAACACCCTAATTCATTCTATGTAACTACACTGATCATGTAAAATAGTAACTATTAACCTACTAGAATAGGTTCTCATTTGTTTTTTTTAAGATTAAGACGTCTGAATCTGAATACACGTCTGAATATCAAGATGTGTATTAAGATTAAGACATCTGAATCTGAATACACATCTGAATATATTAAGATGTGTATTAAGATCTGAATACTAAAAATTAAGACTGTTTGATTTTTAACATCTGAATACATAAAATTATCTTTATTTGAAAAAAATCTAATATTCTATCAATAAAATATATAGTTTTGTAAAATATGATAGTTGGTGGTGGTGAAGGCTAACGAGTGAATGCCGACTAAAGGCGGTGGTTGGTGGTAGTTTTGGTTGATGATGGTGGTTCATGCTAGTAGCTAGTAGTGATTGGTAGTGGTGGCAATTATGATTGATGATGGTGGTGGTGGGTGGTGATAGTTAATAATGGCGGATGGTGATTTATGATTGGGGAAGGTGGTGGTAGGTTATAATGATAGGCGGTGCCTGCTGTGGTTGTTAATGGTGATGGGGTGGTTGGTTGTGGTAGTTGAGCTGGATAAGTGTTGACTGTGAGTGAGAATGATGGTGGTCGGAGTGGTGGGATGGTGGATGGTGATGGCCGATAATAGTGGCGGCTATGATTGGGGATGATGGTGGTGGTGGTGGCGGCGGCTGAGTAGGGTGGTGGTGGTGACATGGTGGTAGTTGATAATGGTAGGCGGCGGCGGCAGTTAATAATGAATATGTGATAGCATCTTAATGAAATTAAGTCTCTGTTACAGATCTTATCATACAGACATATTCAGACTAATTAAGTGGTTGTTAAGTGAAAAAAACAAACACACTTAATGATTAAGATCTGGATAATTAAGATTCAGACTTTAAAAACAAACGCACTTAATGTCTGAGATTTGGATGATTAAGATTCAGACCTCCCTTAAGTACAAACAAATGAGGCCAAACTACATCGATAGTGTAAAATATAATTACGTTAACGTTTTATGTAACTTAAAATGATTACCTTCTTGAAAAGTTGAAAGGAGAAAGAATTCCAGAAGTGTCTCTAGCTGCAAATCCAAAAGCCTTCACTGGATGCTCTTCTTCTGGGTTTTTTGCCATTTCACTTAATTCAACAATATAACTAAAAAGATAGCTAGCTAGCTATAAATTATCAAACTAAGAATGACTAGAAAATGAGACTGAGCAAACGCATAGACAAAGCCAATATATTTATAGTACTAGTTGGGAATATGGGGCTAAATGAATTTATTTTTGAGTGTAAAAGTAGTTGATTTAGAGAAATGTAGTAAATGCTTGCAATAAGGGTTCAACTACCAGGTTTGATGAAAGTTAATACAACGACAATGGTTTGCCATCAATTTTGGTCCTGCATCTCTTGGGAGACTCGTGCTTTATATAGAAAAAAACTTAGTTCACACTTAGTTCTTACAGTACTAACCGAATCAATATATAACATACTCCCTCCGGTCTATTTTGATTGATTTTTTATTTTCAATGAACAAATTAAGGTTAATATGGTTAATTTCATTGTTAACGAATGCTAAAAGGTGAATTTCTTAATATGTGTTCAAAACAACTAAAAAATCAATTAAAGTAGACGCGAGGGAGTATCATTTATATCTTATTGATTAGTCATGGTTATTCTATATATACTTTTTAAAAAAATAGTAAATTAACAAATACATTGAATCAGCCATTGATGCTTGCATCGAGGCCCTTCTTCGGACCCTGTATAAATGCAAGATGCTTCGTGTACCGTATTATCCTTATTTCAAATTAATAAATAAAATTAATACTCCCTACGGTCCAAAATAAGTGATTTTTTGGATGCTTTCACACAAATTAAGAAATTCACCTTTTAGCATTAATTAGCAATGGAATTGACCATATTAACCTTTACTATCTCACATAAACACTCCTAACACATATTCCAACACCATTTATTTCAAGGACAATGTAGTAAAAAAAATAATTAATTCATTCTTGAAATGTGGAAAAATTACTTATTTTGGACCACGAGAAAAAGGCCAAAAAATCACTTATTTTGGACCACCGGAGGGAGTATGACAATAAGGTATGGGTAAATCATGGGTACGTATGTGGTTGTTAGAAAGACCCCAGGTATACCATTATCATAGTTCGAGGTAAAACCACAACACAGAAGTCAAATTTCAGCCATCAACAGTCTGGCAAATGACACATATATAATTCAAGGATTAAGGGGAAAAGACAGATATGAGATATGCAATACTACATAATCGCCAAAATCTACTAAATAAACCATAAATAAACTCTTCAAGTTTCTCGCAAAATATAAAATACTTTATTTCTTAATAGTGTTCGGACCAGCTTGCTCGCACGCTAATTACTCTTAATCAGCTTTCAATGTTTCCCCAACATCAAGCGCAAAACGATACTTGACATCCGATTTGAGAAGTCGTTCCAAGGCAGTGTTCACATAATCCATTGCAACAATCTCAACATCTGGTATTATATTATGCTTTGCTGCAAAATCAAGCATCTCTTGTGTCTCTTTCATTCCTCCAATAATACTTCCTCCAACTATTTTCCTCCCTGTTATTTTTTTTAAAAATTATTAGAACTTCAATTTAATGAAGGGCAGCCTGGTGCACTAAGCTACCGCTATGCGCGGGGTCCGAGAAAGGGTCAGACCACAAGGGTCTATTGCACGCATGCCTTACCCTACATTTATGTAAGAGGCTGTTTTCACGGCTCGAACCCGTGACCTCCTGGTCACATGGCAACAACATTACCAGTTACGCCAAGGCTCCCCTTCTTAATTTTAAGGAAATAAAAAGAAAAGAAAGTTTGATATTAAGATACTTTACCCATAATTATGGGAAAAACTGGCAACTCAAGTGGTTTTGGTGGTGCACCAACCACTACAAGCTTTCCATGAGGTTTTAGTATATTGAGCAATGGAAGAATAGGATGGTCTGCTGAAACTGTGTCTATTATTCCATCCAATGTGCTTGCTGCAGCCTATACAGATTCAAAGCATAAATAATAACCATAGATATGAGTGTCAAATTTAACTTATGAAAATATAACTCGTCTGACTAGTCCAGACTTTGGCGAGTTGTATGATGTATAAATTTATTGGCGAGCTATTTTGGACATAATTTTTTTTTTACTTTTTTTGAAATCAGTGTTTGGCCGTAAAATTTCAATTTTTACTTGAAGATAAATTTTGAAATTTTTCGAAAATTTGAATAACTCCAAAAAGCTATTTTTCAAAAAATTTCACTTAAGATAACTCACAAAAATTTAAAAATAATTCAAAATTGTATTCATGTCCAAACACAACACTCATTCTCACTTAAGAAAAATATACTCTTTTTTTTTTGAGATTTTACAATTTTTTTATCCAAACTCCCAATAAGTTAATCCATCAAAATATTTGCGATAATTAGGGTTGCATAATACAATAATATATCAAAGTATAAGAAAATCATTTTTTTAATGTTGACCCGCGAAACACTATTAGGCTCGATCCATATATGATCTTATATTTCCTATGCTTCAATTTGTACGATACATTTTCCTTATTAGTGTGTTTCAAAAAGATTAACATATTTTTATATTTAGAAATAATTTAACTTATAAATTTTTATTTTTACCATTTTACCCTTAATGAAAAGATTCTATAGCTACACAAATGTCATGAACTCACAAAGCTTTTAACCCTTAAAGTTTTAAAACAAGAAATTTATGCCTCTTATTGTTTTTATTAAACTGTGTGCCGGGAAACTACCTCATCATACAAATTGAAACCAAGAGAATAGAATTTCAAGTACAAAATAGAATATTTACCTGCAATTGTTCAGGATCACGACTGAGCAAGAAAGAATCAGCACCAAGACGTTCAATAGCTTCATCCTTCTTATTAACCGAAGTACTGATCACAGTAACCTTACAACCAAAAGCCTTAGCAAATTTCACAGCCATATGACCAAGTCCACCAAGTCCGACAACACCAATGTTCAATCCAGGCTTGTCAAGTCCAAAATATTTCAAAGGACTATATGTTGTAATTCCAGCACATAACAACGGAGCAGCTTCCGCTGGCAAATTCTCCGGCCAACGAACCACGAAATGCTGATCAGTAACCATGAGATTTGAGTAACCTCCATATGTTGTGGTTCCATCATAGTAAGTTGTACTATATGTGGCAATGTGGCTAGGACAATATTGTTCGAGGTCATTGGTACAATTTTCACATTTTTGACACGATCCGACAAGTACCCCAACACCTACTTTGTCACCAATTTTAACTTTCTCGACGTTGCTACCTACCTCAGTTACCACGCCCACAATCTCGTGCCTGTGCAACAAAAGTAAGATGCAATATAGTCAATATCTTCAGTTTTAAACATCATGTTAAAGTCTACATTTCCTTCTAAAGGTGGATAGACAATCTTAGGGCTATCAAATTTGGCCGCCCAAATGACCCGCCCAACCCGTCAAAGTTAGGCTAGCTATTGACCCGCCCGTTTAAAGTTGGGCTGATTTCTAGTAAAGCTTGATAAGATTTGGACGGAATGGAGTATGACCCAAATTTTAGCCCATCTCAGCCCAAGTAACTTTTGGGTGGGTCATTTGACCACCCAATTATTGACTCAACCTATTTTGACCCGCCCAAAATCGATCCAACCCGCCCATTTGACACCCCAGACAATCTTATGAGTAATGATCGGGTAAAGAGCTAATGTGTCTATCGGACAAAAAATTGCACCCAATAATATTGAAAATTGATGGTCTTGATTTTTTTTTTTACAGCTGCTTACCCCATGTGAAAACCTTTAAAGCAAAAGTCAAAAGTGTTGCTCATGGGGCAAGCGAGGGGCAATACTTGTTAAACTTGAAGCTGGACAAGTGGGGCTAAAGATCAATAGTAGCACCGAAGTGTTCTATTTGTGCAGATCACCCTTGGACGGCCAATCCTAATCCAACCAAGGTGAGTCTTGCCGGTTCCGGTTCGAGGCTTTACCGGGCCAACTCGGCCCAAACATGGGCCTTCCTTACTCAACTGACAGGTTTACTAGTAAGGTGTTTGTACTACAATAACGATTCAGGGTATTCACACAAGTGGGGCATCGGAATATTTGTACTAAAAAATGTGAAATTCATCACTATCTCGAAAAAAATGCTGGGACCATAGGATAAGATTAGTGACACCACTAAGATTTGTAGTAGAGCACGCTTTTATTGTAGGGCTCACAGCCTCACAAATGTGAGTTGATGTTATAGTGATGTACTTTTGTGCCCATACTTGCACTTTCTCCTTAAAATGGTAACCTTATAACTTCTTGAAGGATTTACAAGACTAGACACTTATTTTGTCAATGGCAGAGCTAGAAATTTAAATAACGCGATTTAAAGTAATTTTTGAACTATATTCTCTTGTATCACGAGAAAAAATTTATTTATTGAAAATAGAACAAATATTCTAATACTATTTATTCCAAGGATAACTTTTGAAAAAAAGAAAAAATATTAATTAATTCGTGATATCTGAAAAAAATTAAATATTGTGGACCATAAACAAATGCAAAAAGTCAATTAAACTAAGGGAATAAATAGGAGAAAAATGTTAATCACGTACTATCAAGTTTGTTTAGATAGGAATAAAAATATGGTTTGAATCAAATATATGGTTTCAAACCAAAAGGGAAGAAAGTAAGTGATCTCATACGATATTGTTTTCTTTCCTTTTTTGCTCACAAACCAAACAATGAAAGAAAATCCTATCAAAAAGTTTCCTTTCTCACACAAAATCTTCATAGCTTAAAATTTGGGCAAAATACAATATTGATCGGTCGCCACAACTAATTATATATNCAAATATTATACAATATATATATATATATATATATATATATATATATATAAATTATACATTTTGTCGATTATTATTTTTAAGAGCGGCAAAAGTGTACATTTCTCTTAAATTTTTTCAAGTATATGAGAGGAAAATGAGGACAAAATCGAATTTTACCCGGGCACAATAGGATACTTGGAATTGCCCCACTCATTCTTGAGCATATGAAGATCTGAGTGACAAATTCCACAATACAGCACTTTGAACTGCACATCATTCTCCCCTGTAGCCCTGCACCCAGAAATGAACAAAAAAGAACAAAAAGAATATTATGAGCATTTAAAAACACTATGATCAATAAAACTGGAGTTTAGTCACAATATATAGTTATAACTCCACCGAGATTTCAAAATTTAATAAAGACAAAGAAAACACTAGGTGATTTTTTCTCATATGTCGAAACGAACCGAGTGGTAACTAATATTGTGCCCATTGAATTAATCGAGGTGCGCTAATCGACTTTAACACCAACGTAATTAAAAAGAAAAAAGGAGGGTCATAACTCTACCTAAACTGTAAATGTATCCTTAATCCTATTCACGAATACACTCCAAGTAAACCAAAAAAATAAAGGAAATGTATACTCTTTGTATATAGTAAAAAGCAAAAGGCCTAGATTTTATTTTTCCAAATTTTCTCTTATTGTTTTTGTTTGTGTGTCAAAGCACCATACCTTCTTGAAAAGTTGAAAGGAGAAAGAACACCAGATGTGTCATAGGCAGCCCATCCAAAGGATTTGATTGGGTGCTCAGTTTCTGGGGATTTCGCCATTTTTTCTCCAAAAGTGTAGTTAGAGAGTCACCTAAAAAATCAGAAAACAAAACAGAAAAAATGTGCATAAGTTAAATTCATGTGGCCGTTTGGTATCCATATTTATAAGCTTGCCTGGCCCCATCATCATTTTTGAATTCTAAAGGATAAAATTAGAGAGAAGGAAAGTAAAGAAAATAATTAAGAAACATGTTTTTTTAAAGATTTTATTCCTTTATTAGAGATAATATATAAAGAAAAATATGATTGTGATAAAGTTAAGGAAATAATGAGATTGAAGTTACATGACTAATAAGCCTAAATTAAAGGAGAAATTCTTTCAACATTTTCTTCATTTACTTTTTCCCTTTTTAATTATGATCTTTTCCAAAAAAGTGCAATGCGGAATCAAATTATAAGATATGATCCTTTGTCAAATTTTGTACCAATTCAATAAAGTGAATCTCTGATTGATTACAATGCAATTGCCTTATTTACGCTTTATTGTTCTTTATGTAAGAAATTCAGCCATAATCTTTTATTCCAAAATTATCTTTGTCATTCATCTTACAAAAGGAAATACAATTTTTTCTCGATCAGACTTTGAATAAACAATATGCGAAATATTCATAAGGTTTCACACATGGTGTTTATGCCAAACTAATAAAGATAAAAAATATATCTTTTATATATTTATTTATCACTTAACTATGGTTAAGTAACATATAGTCTCACTTAGCTTTAAATATTAAATAGTCCACCAATATTAAATTGCTTGGCTTTGTGTAAACACTCGTGTTAATTAATAACTAGCATTAGTACCCGTGCGATGCTTGGATAATAAAAAAGAACGATCTACACCGTAAAGTTTAATATGTTAGTGTTAATACCATCTTTACAACCAAACATTCAAAATATTTTAAGACTCCAGTAAAACTTTCATTCCATGTCCTAATAAATGTTCCATTAAAATAATTATACTATACAATTTGTTTGATATGAATGTTCCACGAAAAATAATGATGCTATACAATTTGCTTGATATGAAGCATGTGCTTAAAGGAACGTTTTTCTAGCAAATGCTCATGACATATTGCAGTGCATTTTCCAAAAGTTGTCCTCTGTGTTGAGGCAATGATGAAGGAACATGAATTATGGCAAACATTAGCTTATTCAGAATCAAAATGTACAGGGCAATGCATATGCAAAAACTGATTTCCAGCTAAGGCTCTCTCTTTATTATTGTCTGGCGTTTATGGTAATTGAAACTTTTTACTCTTTCTACCATTCCACAGGCTTTGTCTATTATCCTAACAATGTCTAAAGCCAAAGTTGAGGCAGAAAAGGGACAGGTCAACTGCGAAGAGCTGATAAATTCAGCTATTCAAACCATAGATGAAGCCGGTGGAAGGGTTGATTATGCTGAGGTGAGAACTTAAACAATAATGATATATTTCAAATGGATATAAACAATAGAATACCAACTGGGAACTCAATCTGTTCCCAATATAAAAAATTGATGAAACCCCTGTAATTGCAGAGTTTTCAACACTGATCCCAAAATCCCTTGGAATGAAATTCTGACTTGGCAACTCGACATCAAAAAGACTGGTAGCCTACCCTAATCTATTCCCAATATCAAAAATTGCAGAAACCCCTGAAATGGCAGTGTTATCCACAGCTATCCCAAAATCCCTCGGAATGAAACTTTGACTAATCAACTCTACATCAAAAAGCTTGGAACTTTGTGGATTATGCCACAAAAACGACGGAGGACTAATATGCGACTGAATCAAACCGGTGACTCCTTGAGCAAGCTTATCACCCTTTGTAGTGATAAACCTCTGGTGAACTGCCACATAACATAGTTATACCAAATTAAAAATATTAACTAAAAAAATTATACATAAGACCAAAGGATCAGAAGACAATAACAATACATAATAATTAAATGATAAATCATTTAATAACGTATTAAATTAAATTACGAAAAACTTTTTTGTACACTGTATTTCTAGCTTCATCTGTTATTTGTCCATCATCATCATAAACTAAAATCTTTAACCCTTTTCTACTTGTCACCCGTGAAAGAGCAACATACAATTGTCCATATGTAAACACTGATTTCTTCAAAAATAACCCAACATGAGACAATGACTGGCCTTGACTTTTATTAATTGTCATGGCAAAAGACACCACAATTGGAAATTATCGTCGCTGGAACTTAAAAAGTATTCTCGCATCAGATGGAGTCAACGTCATTCTTGGAAAAAATACTTTTTCTCCAGCCATATTACCTGATAAAACCTTGGCTTCAATAACTCGATTTTCAAGTTTTGTGATGATCAATCTTGTACCATTGCATAATCCCGATGACTGATCTATTTTTTTCAGTAACATCACAGGAACACCAACCTTTAGAGTAATGGAGTGATTTGGAACTCCAGAACATTTAATACTATTTAGCAATTCTAGTGTATGTACGTGGTCCAAAGCTGTAAAAGCATGATCAGACATACAAATCGTATCATAACTCAAATATGTCTTCTCAGGATTATGATTGAGTGAAACCATATACTCATTGATAGATTCCACCATGTCAAGAGTCGGAGCGAGAATTGCTCTTCTTTGGAGGTAATCATGTCATTGTAATGTTTAAAGAAATCAGGATAAGTACTTTCTACAATTGCAGATATTGGATCATCACAATTATGTATGAGAAGATCATCGGGGATTCGAACCTTTTTAATTCCATCAGTAGAACTTCCAATTCTTCCGTCACCAATTGCCAAAATCCAGTCTGAAAATTCTTTTAACTCATCTAAATGTGGCCCTAACTGATTTCCTTGCAATCTCATATTCCTTGTTAGTTTTAAGATTTCACAGTGGGGCCATAAATATGAAGAGTTTAGAGAAGCATTAACAATATCTTGCCGAGTACCTTTTGTAATGACTGGCAAAATTTCTCTGAAGTCACCACCAAGAACAACTGTTTTACCTCCAAATGGTCGATCTAGACTGGATGTGTCTTTAAATCTAAGAATATCTCTAAGAGTTTGATCAAGAGCTTCGAAACAGTATCTATGCATCATCGGTGCCTCATCCCAAATAATCAACTTTGCCTTAACGATCAATTTTGCTAAAGGACTACCTTGCTTTATATTGCATGTTGAATCTTCAATTGGATTGAGAGGAATTGCAAATCTCGAATGCACTGTTCGACCTCCCGGTAACAAAAGAGATGCAATCCCACTTGATGCAACAGTTAACACAATATCTCCTCGAGATCATATACCTGAAGATAGAGTCTTCCAAATAAATGTCTTGTCAATTCCTTCATAACCATATGAAAAGAACAATCCACCTTTGGCCTCAATCACTGCTGCCATAATTTTCTCATAAACTGACTTTTGTTCAGCCGTCAAATTCCTTAATAATTGTTGATGTTCCTCTAACATTGAGCATCTATTGTAACACAATTCATCATGGATTAATCTATTGCTATGGTCACCTTCTCCCTCACTGTAAAGAGGTTTTGGCATTATTGGAAAATCCTGAAAACTTCTTCCGCAACCTTTCAAAAAAATTTCCAACTTTTGTAAGCAACAATTTTTCAATTCATCATCTGTTAGCTCCGCCTCTGAAAGAACATAAATATTGTGGAACTTGAATAGCTATAATACATAAAAGATATTATATGATTATTCACAAAAAATCCATGTTAATTTTTATTGAAGTTATGGTTAGTTGTAGTTATGGTTTACACTTATGAATGATATATTCTATACCTGCTCATTCAATTAACTGTATAGTTAAAGGCATACTGTACTATCTAATTTAACTGACTATCATTATGAAGTAAGACAATTTTTAGCATTTCTCTCTCCTGCAAATGATTTAAAGCATGTGCATGTACTTTAGATTAAGGAACAATAAAACCACATAAATTCTATACTCCAAAGTGCAAGTTTGGGACATGACTGCAAATGAGTTTATGAGTTTAAACTGTAAACAATGAAAGTCGTAGCTAGTAAAAAGACAGCCTTAAGTACTCTATATATGTTCTACCATGACCATTTTTAAAGTGCTTATATTATACTAAATGGGATATCTAGAGAATAGTGGCTATATTACACTAAATCTACAAACGGGTATTTATTAACATGCTTAATAACATAATTAGATAAACCTTTAGTACTCTCTCTATAAACTGAAATGTGTAAACAATTTCACGTCATTAGTCATTTTAGTATAATTAAATCCAAATATAAGTCCAGTAACTCATGTCACTAGTTTTTTTTACTATAAGTGCAAGCATTTTTTTTTAATTCATGCAGGTGGATGCAATTTTTGTGCATTATGGTGCATGGTGAGAACTGACAAACACATTGTCTAGATGGAAATAATATTTCCTCTTTATAAGTATATATTTTTGTTATATACGGCTGAATAATCTATTTATATCCTCGTATACATACTGAAATTATGTAAAAAAATCATAACTGCAAATATAAGTTTGGACATACCTGGATTGGCCAGTAAGACTCTTTCTTCATGGAGGGTATCTTCTGATAATAATTTCTATGTTGCTTGCCAAATATTTTCTGGTCGTGACATCGAATTCGATAACAACAACATAGAAAATAATTTCTTAAGATACGATGGCATACCCCAGCTACTTGCCTCCTTTATGCAATCCACATATTCTTTGTCATCGTCAATTAAACCAAGTGCATAACATGCTTCTCTAAATGTAAGATGATCATGATTGTTGATTCTTTTAACATCTTCATAACATTTTGGACCTTTAATGACATTCAACAACAACCAGAGGTAGTATAGCTAGCCAGTTCCAGGCGGAACAAAGAAAATCCTTCCAATTGAAAATGCAGAAGTTTTTTTCTCTCCCATCTTTTCAACTTTGGTTTCCACAAGTAAGGGCAAATTCTGCTAAGTTAATTCTCTTGTTTCAGAAGATGTTTTATTTGTCTCGAACCAACTTAAAAACATCGATTCCCTTACAGTGGGTCTATTGGCAACATCATCAATCTGATCATCATCAGAGAATATGACATGTTGTTCATTTGGAAGATGAAATGATAGTCTTTCCACTGAAGGTTGTCTATAGTGAATAGGAAACTTGAATATTCTCCAAGCAGCTTCACAAGGTGATATGTATCGACAATGATAGTACATATTAATTTCATCAACAACCGATGAACCCTCCTCTTGCACACTTCTAGAAAAAGCAGCAGTGGCACGATCATTTCCTTTGTTAACATATTGAAATAAGTACTTAATTGATCTCGATTGATTGCACCACTCCACATTGATGTGAGCACCATATTTCAATAATAAGAAACGATTGTGTGGCACCACATACCTGTTGTCCAAGTCAATACCATCCTTCTTGATAGTTCTTCCATTATCCTTTCTCCTATAAATAGGATAATCATCTTCATCAATTGTGGTTGGCTCAGTAAACTTTTTTGGAAAGCACTTTGTACATCTCCCATTCTGCATGCAAGGGGAAGATTTTCTGGCAGAACCACATGAGTCGTGCATCATGAAACTTTTCACGGCCCTATAATAATGAGGATCAACTGCTTCATTTGGAATTTCTGCTGTTATTATTTGATCAATATCAACAGTAGTTGGATATTTGTTATGCTCATGAAGAAAGAGCAATATATGAGCATGAGGCAACCCTCGCTTTTGGAACTCAATTGTATAAATCACCGCACGAAGAAGCAAAATAAATTTATTGGATAAATAAATAGTTTTCAATCTATATTGAAAAATTATTCCAGGCAAAATCAGGCATATTATTTAAATTATTACTTCAAAAGTTTATATTCATACCTGATTTTACTGCTCCAAACACTTTATTGTCTCGCAAGTCCTTTATCAAGAGATCCAATTTGATTTTAAATACCCCACTTAAGATGTTTGGACGATCCTCAGGATTTAACCCCTACTCGTTACATGTCTTAGAATCTCAGGCACTTCGGATTGCAAGTGAAAGTGATAAAAAGATCAGGGTACCAAGCCCATTTGCATATCGCCATAGTATCTTGATAATTTTGAAGCATGTATCGTGCACCACCTGTGAAGCTTGACGGTAGAATAATTCTCTTTCCTTGAGACGAAGGAGTAGTTTCTCCATGCAAAACAACTTCTTCTAATCCTTTATACATCGCAACTCTCAATTGTTTTTATTGAGTCCTATAATACTTCAATCGACCAGATTCAATCATTGGATATGCATCAGCTAAGTCTCACTTAACTATGGTTAAGTAACATATAGTCTCACTTAGCTTTAATTGTTAAATACTCCACCAATATTAAATTGCTTGGCTTTGTGTAAACACTCGTGTTAATTAATAATAGTAAGGGGTTGTTTGGTTGGGAAACAAGTTATCCCATGATTAGTTATTCCGGAATTAGTTATCCCACCATTGCATAGGGACAAAAAAATATTACAATCCCAGGATCAGTTATACCACGATTTTATCCCAACCAAATATGAGATAAACTTTTCTCAAATTTAATTCCGGATTAATGATCCCTTATCTCTTACACCAAACGAGCCCTAAGTGTTTATCGTTTCGTTTTTGGGGTTGAACATTCTTAGTGGGCGTTTGGACATAAGAATTGTAGAATTCCAAAAAAAGTGAAATTTTATTTCAAGTGAAAATGATATTTGAAAATTAGAGTTGTGTTTGGACATGAATATAATTTTGGGTTGTTTTTGAATTTTCGTGAGTGATTTGAGTGAAAATTTTGAAAAATAATTTTTTTGTGTTCTTCACATTTTCGAAAAATTTCAAAATTCATCTTTAAGTGAAAATTGAAAATTTCATGATCGAACACTAATTTCGAAAAAAGTAAAAAAAAAAACTTATGTCCAAACGGGCTCTTAGTGCCGACCTTTAAATTATGCTCCAATCCTCCAAAACTTTATGGCTTTGTACTTTTCACATGTGCATTGAAGTACGTTGTTGAATTTAATGCCAACACCTCGTACACACCAAACGTTTCTTGAGCATTTAACGTATGTGGACTATTGCTTCTTTTGTATGCCTTAGGATTGTGCTTAATCAAATGTTTAATCGTATATACCATGTTAAATCAAATGTTTAATCAAATTTTTTCTCAGAAAAGAATTGTAACTTACGTTCCTAGGGGAAATAAAAGAAGGTGTATATCAATTGAAAGGTTTTAGTGGAAGGACCCAACTAAGTGGGTTTCATATATTTATATTACCTTCACTATAATATTACAATATAAAGAATGGAAATACAATAAATACAAAGATACAAATATGACAATTCAATCAATCAAAGATAATTATAGTAAAAGCTATTATCATGTAAATAAATGATATCTTTTAAATAAATGTAGAATATTCCCTAAAATCCTCCCTCAATCTGAGCGGGAGGATCGAACATTCAGATTGCTAATCAAATAAGTGAATCTTCAAGTGACTTAGTAAATATATCTGCAAGTTGATGGGACGATGAGTGTCACGACCCAAAATCAACCATCGTGATGCCGTCTATCGTGGAACTAGGCAAGCCAACTACTCAACCATTTCAACACAAGAAAAGCTTTGAAAAATACGGAAGTAGTTATATTTAAGGAAAACCTTTTTAAAAGCGGAATAAAATTCACAACTCAATACAAAATCTCTCCCAAAACTAGGGTGTCACCGAGTACATGAGCACCTATACAGGGATATAGTATAATACAACGTCTAGAGAATAAGAACTGAAACATAATGAAGATAAGGAGGGAGAGTCAAGGTCTGCGAATGCCAAGCAGCTACCTCGATAATCTCCGACGATCCGGACTCCACAACTCAACAACCGCCGTGACCGGAAGCACCTGGATCTGCACACGAGGTGCAGGGTGTAGCGTGAGTACAACCAACTCAATAAGTAACAAATCTAACCTTTGGACTGAAGGTAGTGACGGACTCAACCGGTACAGTTCAATATAGAAATAACAGTACAGAAAACGTAGGCATGCTTTAAAGTTCAACAGTTAAACTCAATACCAGTAAGATAAATCAATTCTGAATGATATGAAGAACATAACTTCTCTTCTTCTACATGCCAATGCATATGTTGTATGTGATGCACCATGCTGAAAGCCTCGTGTGCTCACACTCTCAAAACGCTCAATCGCTCAGTACTGTGTATGGCCAATCTGGCCCAGAGAAGATCCATCACGGAAATATATATACATCAACTGACAGGCAGTCACTCAATACTGAGTAGCGCCAATCCAGCCCTTGAGGAAGATCCATCCCCAGGTATAAATGCTTCGGATAAGATCCATGTCCAGGGAAGATCCATCCCTCAATATAAATCATTCGCACTCACTAGGGGTGTGTGCAGACTCCAGAGGGGATCCTTCAGCCCAAGCCTATCATAAGCCAGATCCATGCATAAATCAGTAAAACCCGCTGTGACGTGCAGCCCGATCCCATAAATGTAACTCATAATCAGGCCCTCGGCCTCACTCAGTCATCAATCTCTCCAGTCTCTCTCTCTCTCTCTCTCTCTCTCTCTCTCTCTCTCTCTCTCTCTCTCTCTCTCTCGGGATCACAATGTCATGAAACTATCCCAAAAATGATGATATGATGTACCAATAAATAGCAACAGAGACTGAGATATGATATGCAATGAACAAATATGACTGAGTACGAAATTTCAATGTAATCAATAAGTTAATAGCAAGAAACGACCACTATGGGTCCCAACAGTACCAGCATATAGCCTAAACATGAATTCTAACATGATTGCCAACTCAATTACTTTATCACATGATGAATTATGGATATCAACATGATAAATCAACTATACAGTTCCATGGAACCGACCAGGTCACAGTTCTCCCAGTGCACGCCCGCACGCCCGTCACTTGACATGTGCATCACCTCAACACAAATCATATAACACATAATTCGGGGTTTCGAACCCTCAGGGACAAGTTTAGAAGTGTTATTTACCTCAATCCGAGCAAATCTCTACTCCAACACACCTTTGCCTCGCGAAACGGCCTCCGAATGCCTCGAATCTAGCCACAAACAATGCGATACAATCAACACGGGCTAACAGAATCAAATTCAATAAGGAAATACTAAGTTATAAATCAAAAGTAAAGAATTGGCCCAAAGCCGGCCCCCGGGCCCACGTCTAGGAATCAGGTAAAAGTCACAAAATCCGAACACCCATTCGACCACGAGTCCACCCATACCAAAATTACTCGAATCCGATACCAAAATCCCGATCAAAACCTCAAAATTTAGCCTAAGAACTTTTCTCCATTTTTCCCAATTTTTTACCCCAAACCACTAATTTAATAATGAAATCAAATGCATAATCATGGAAATTAACCAAAACTAGGTAAGAATCACTTACCCTAAACACCCACGTGAAAATCTCTCCAAAAATCGCCTCCCACCGTGCTCCCAAATTAATTTTTGTGTTATGAACTCAAACCCTCGTTTTGAACATTTAAATCTGGTGCCCAGTTATCCTTCATCGCGAACGCGGCCATCCTCCCGCATTCGCACAGCACAAACCAGCTTTCCCCTAAAATTTGCCTTACGCGACAACAGAGACCTCTACGCAAACGCGAACCTCTGCTACTTCTAACCTACGCGATCGCGTCCTTCCTTACGTGACCGCAAAGAACAAAGCGTACACTCCACTGTTGCTTCACTTCCCCTATGCGAACGCGGACCTTACCACTCGTCCGCGATGCCCAGACTCACCAGCCTTTCGTGATCGCGTGCTTCAACTGACGATCACATAGAACAACTGCCCCCGATTGACATACACGATCGCGGACGCTCTCATGCGATCGCGTACAAGGAAACCAGTAACAGAAAACCAGCAGTCTTCAGCTATAATACCAAGTCTAAAATTGACTTGTTAACCACCCGAGGCTGTCGGGACCTCAACCAAACATACCATCAAGTCCCAAAACATCATACGAACTTAGTCGAGCCCTCAAATCACATCAAACAACATCAAAAACACGAATCGCACCCCAATTCAAGCCTATTGAAACTAAGAAATTCCAACTTCTACAAACAACGCCAAAACCTATCAAATCACACTACTACAAAAAAGACCTTTAGCGGCAATATAAAACGGATTTAGCGGCAATAAGAATAGTCGCTATATCGTTTACCAGCCATTAGGGTTTGCCGCTGATGCGGGGTCGGCAAAGCCTTTAGCGGCTTTTCTCGCAAAAGCTGGTAAAAGGTATGGTTTATTGCCGCTAAAAATTATTATCTTTAATGGAAATTGTTTGCGGCAATTATAATGGCTACAAAATCCAATCCAAAACGGCCAACTAAACCTCTTTAGCATCTATTTTTATAGCCGCTAAATTCAAACTAATTGCCGCTAAAGGTTTGCATCTCTAACGGCAATTGTTTGTGGCAATTATAATGGCTACTAACTCCAATCCAAACGGCTAATTATACTTCTTTACCATCCATTTTTATAGCCGCTAACTTCAAAATAATTGCCGCTAAAAGTTCGCATCTCTAACAGCAATTGTTTGTGGCAATTATAATGGCTACTAAATCCAATCCAAACGGCTAATTATACTTCTTTACCATCCATTTTTATAGCCGCTAAATTCAAAATGATTGTCGCTAAAAGTTCGCATCTTTAATGGCAATTATTTTGTTGCAATTAAAAAGGCAATAGTATCCCTTCTTCAAACATCTTAGTTTGCCCTTTATCGTCCATTTTAATAGCTAATATGTTTAACTAAATTACCGTTAATAATCAATAACTTTAAAAGTCACAAGCGATAGTAGCAATAATTGTCCACAATTAATAATAGTTACTACCTTTGTATAGAAATGACCCAAATAATAAAATATATTAATATTAATTAAAAAAACATAATATAACTTATTAAATCTTAACAAACAAAAGAAAGTAGTAATCAAAGATATTAATATGACAGTAACTTAAAACATAAAAATATACTGTTTGGACTAAATAGCAGTGTCATCATTGTAATAATCCAGAATGATGGTCTTCAAATGATTTCCGCAATTTTTCATCATTTTGAAATCTTCCAGCCGCTAAATTATCGAACATCAGACTGTATGACCTGAAATTATAAAATAATTGTGTTAAAGGATAAAGTATATACATGAAGT